GTATATTGCATTTACAAATCATATGTTAGGTCTCAGACCCTCTATGTTGAGAACAAGGCATACAGCATTCCTGGTTGCCATAACCTTTGACCCAATGTTATCAGAAAACAAAATGGCCTTTAAAGACTCTCTAGCTTTGGGCTAGGACCTGGTTTAAAATAAGAATCTACCTTTTACAAAACTTCTTTTGTAAGTTTCTCACATGATTAAGGCCCCTTCGTTAAGGAAACAAAAACCATCTGAAAAGGACAGAAAGACATTTTGCCATCCCCAAATAACTTCTAAGAAAACATTGATAAGCATCATAATTACCTAGTTCCCTGAACCCCAGGAGTAACTTTGGAGTGCATAAAAAGTATTTGCACTTGGTGCAGCTCCCATCATGCACACCTACCTTCTCACTTGAACACATAACTCGTATATCTACTTTACAACACACCCTAGCTATACTTCTGTACAGCCGCCTATGTTTCTTGATTGAATTCTTTTGCTAAGGGCATGAAAGGACTGACTGACCCAGCTTCCCAGTGACATGAAGACAATTTGATAGACAGTGACAGAAAGCCACTAAACCTAGTTCATGCAAAAAGGAAAGTACAGTCAGGCCTCCATGTCTGTGGTTCTACATAAGTGGATTTAACCAACCATGGATGGAAAATATTCCAAACAACACTATTTGCCTCTATACTGAACACATACACTTTTCTCTTGTCATTATTATTAATATTCCCTAATATTATTCCCTAAACAATACAGTATAATAGCAATATCCATAGCATTTCCATTATATTAAGTATTATCCATTATATTAAGTATTATCAATAATACAGAAATGATTTAATGTATGCAGGAGGGGCCTGTGGGCGTAGCTCAGTGGTAGCTCATGTGCTTAGCCTATATGAGGTCTTTGATTCAATCCCTAACACTACAAAAAAAGAAAAAAAACAGAAGAAAAAAAGTATACAGAATGACGCGCATGGGCTATATGCAAATGCTGTGCCATTTTATATAAGATTTGGTATCTATGAGTGTCCTGGGCCCAATTTCCCAAGGACACAGAGGGTTGACTTAGATGAGAATTATACAGGGCTACAGGTGTAGCCTGGTGGGAGAGCACTTGCTTAGCATGTCCAAGGTCTTGCACTGCTAAATATAAAAAAAGTGAACTCATGTTTTTTTAAAAAAATACAAAACTTCTTATGGGGTCTAGATGGTGCAGCTGGGTCTCAGAAAGGCTCTTTAAAAATTAGCACCAATAGCCAGAGTGGCATCATGGAGTGGAACAACCCCTCCCTTCCGGTCATTCTCCTGTCCCTACCCTCAGGCCCATGGGCTCTTCTCTGTTTTTCTCTTTCTCGGTTGAATAGTTTCTCCAGCCTCAAATACAAGCAAGAATCTGATGGGCCAGCTTCAGTCTGATCTCCCTTGATCTAATGAAGGGGGTGGACACCCGTGCTGATACTACCCGACCCCAAACTCCCACCGTAGTTAATAGAGCCAGTGACAGATGTCCTTCAAGGGCATTCTACAAGAGCCAACTTGATGGCTGTCATCACTCTCCCTTCTTCGGCGGTTGGTGTCTCTCTGCCATTGTCCATTTCCCGTTGTGCTGTCCCTTAGCAGGCCTGCATCGACCCAGCACATCCTTATCGAGGCCCTGGGACTCCAGGGCTGCAAGGACAAGTGTCATGCGCAGTCTCATGTGACTTGCATTCTGGCGGGAAAACAAACACTGAAGAGCTGGCAGATAAATTATCTCTGATCGTGACTCTGCTCATTTCTATTCCAAGTTATATTCAGGGTAGTCCATTTCAGATGGAAGGGAGAAGAAAAAAGAGATGAAAATGTGTAATAAACCCTCCCCTTCTCTAACTATGGACAGTGATTAACATTTAAAAATCAGTGAATAATACTCATGCACCCAGTGTTTCCATGCGTTCCAGATGTCTGAGGTATCCTGGTGGGAGGGCCATTCTCTCCCCCAGGGGAGGACGGTGGGAATCATCTGATAAGCGCATCTACTGGACAGAGCCATTACTCAGCTCCAACTCCCACCCCACTCACAGCTGCAAGGCACCACCCTGCTGTGGCAGACAGAAGAGACTTTTGTGCAGAGAAAATGCTGCCCCACACCCCACGGCAATGGAGGTGACTGCTGGCCTTGAGAAGGTTAACGTCCCACTCAAGAAGGGAGCTAAGAAAAGTCTGCGGGGCTGCAAGAAGGCTTTTTGGTGGTGGTCATAGTGGTGGTGGTGTGTGCGTGCGTGTGTGTGTGTGTGTGTGTGTGTGATTTGTTTTGTTTGTTGAAAGGAAGTTGCATTTCTTTTTTCTTTTACTAATTTATTCACAAAATATTTTAAGCGTACTAAGAATAGTAAAACAATCCTGCCCTAGATATATACTTACTGTAATTAATTAACAATGATGATTAAACAGATGTGAATATTTGGACACTTTTGCTCAGAATTCCTCCATGCGGATACACTCTTTTTCTTAAATAAAAGGTCACACTACAAATGTCCCTCATGTCTTCCCCTGCCTGCAGAGGCTGCCTGCACAAGTCTGTATTTTTACTGTATGTGTAGCATCCATAAATAATATATGCCATTGCTTTGTGTCTTAAATATGCACAAATGGCATTCTGTACATCTCATTTTGAAAATTGCCTTTTCCACTCCACTTTGTACGTTTGAGGTTTTAGTGACATTGTTGCCTATAAATGCAGTTCATTTCTTTTACTGTCATACAGTACTATGTTGTTTGTAGGAACCTCATTTTATCCTTTCTCCTGCTGAAAAACACTGTATGTAGTTTTCACATTTTTGCCATTGCAAATATTGCTTTGATGAATATCTTTATGGAGGTCTTCTCAGGCGCATGGGTGGAAGCATCTAAAGGGTGGGCAGCTAGTTATGAAACTGCTGTGTGGCCACTAACTTTCTAGGTAATTCCCAGCAAGTGACAAGCACTCTGCTGTCACTTCCTCAACCATGAAGTGGTTTATGACTTAGTAGGTCCCTCACAGAGAAAATGATGATTAGAATTTTCACAATTGTGCCTCTAATACCCTAGAAGAAAAAATAAAACAAAATGAGAACGTGCGCAGTGAATTCAGACCTAAGGGAGTGATATAAGTGACACTGTGAGATTCAGAATGTTCTTAGAGATGATGGACCAAGGCAGCTCTGGCCACTCCGTGCTCTGCGGCCCTGTGCCCCTCACTTCACAGTGGTCATCCAGACTGGAACCTTTCCTTTCTCTCCCTGGCTCAATCTCTTTGGAGACATCTCTGCAGCTGGCCCAGTGCCTTTCCTGAGTCTGGGAGCACCTCAGGCTGGTGGTAGGACTGGCAAGAGCTGGGCAGGAAAGGAACTTAAATTTGAGGCTTATAGACTTCCTCTTCCTTCCTTTCTTCCTCCCTCCCTCCCTTGAGGTAATTCTATTTTACTTGGTCCACTCAGGAGTGCAAAATTTAGAGCTCTTCAGCTGACACTTCAGCTCACGAATGTCTCTGTGAGCTCAGCCAGGACCTCACAGCAAAAGACCAATCTGGGGCAGGAGGCGAGGCTCCTCTGGGGAAATTCCAGGTCTTTTCAGCCAGCAGCGTGGAGGACCAGAGGAGCGTGCTGTGCTCTGTAAATCAGTGCTGCTGCAGGCCCCTGCCTGCCCCTGAGTTCACTCCCACTGTACCCTGCAGCTCAGCTGTCCTTCCTTCCACTAAACACAGTGTGCGCCATGTGATGAGGCCGCCCTCTGGAGATGCAGCCCCAGGTCTCACACAAGGACTGGGCACCCCAAGAAAGCTAACAAATGATTAGGCCAGGGATGCCAGACACCCAAAGGATAGAGCAGGGGATGCTGGGTGGTTGGGGGGACTTTTCTTGGATTCAGAAGGCCCATGCTGTGAGGCCCAAAAGTGGAACAGAGTGACTGGAAGCTGTAACTTGGTAACAAGCAAGTTTGGAGAGTTCTGCAAAAAGCAGCTGTTGGAGGAGCAAAGCCAGTGAGTGCTAGCTTTAGCGGCTGTTGGGCTGGTTGCCCAACTTCTCTGAGTCGCCCTGCCCTCACCTATAAGGTGGGTGGCCTCTCTCATACATTATGACAAACACAGTGTCCTACGCCAAGATGCTTCAGGTATGCTTTCTACCCAGTGGACACTCCACCGTGGACTCAGGTGCCCACGGCCCCCAAACAAGTTTGCTGCGCAGTCGCCTTTGGAAGTTGCTCATCTCATACTCCCAAGTCCTCTCAGACTCCTTCCAGCTGGGCACAATGGAGAAGTGTGGCAGTTAATAGTGAAGGCTGAGGAGTCAGATTCCTGGGTTCAAATCCCAGTTCAACCACTTGGTAGCTGTGGGAACTGAGGAAAGTTCTTCATTTGTAAAGTGAGAGTCAGGAGCAGTTTGGGCCTCGGAGGGTTGAGAATTCCATGAGTTGATTCCAGTGCCTGGCACACAGTGGGTGCTCAGTAATGATGCTGACACACTGGCTATCAGCCATTGATGTAACCATCAGCCCATTCATTTCTACGGGACCAAGCGTGTGTGGCTGAGGCCCTGGTGACACAAAAGTGAGTCAGTCCTGTCCCGAGGATGGACACCCACCAGTGAACAGACGGGCCCTGGAAAGTCAGGCTGTGATGGAGGTGCCCTGTGAGAGAGGGAGGAAAGGTCAGGAGGCTCTGAGGTGAGAAAGACCCGGGAGCAGTCAGCCAGGACAAGGGGAGGAGCAAGGAGTCTCCAGTCAGAAAGAATAAACAGGTTTGAAAAAATTCATTTATTTAAGAAATGTCTGAGCACCGCCTAGGCACTGGGAAGACAGGGCTGTAGGGCGGAGATCCACCCTCATCAGGAGCGCTGACACTTACACCCATCGAACGCGTCCCACACTAATCTGCGTGCAGCACGCGCTGTAGCAGGCACACGTCCTACTGTGCCCTCCATTTTATTTTTCACTAGGGCAGGCAGATCCGCCGTGATCTCCGTGGAAAGGCAGGAAGGACTCCAGGTGTCCGGTCATCCCCACTCTGCCAAGCCGCCCTCTAGGAGCTTGTAGGCATTCTGGTGTCCCACTCGGGAGCTACAAGTGGGCTGTCCTGGCTGGAGCACGGCTTCCACCGCTGCAGAGCCTGAAAGCCAACCGGCAGGACTGAGCGCTGGGAGGAGGCTGTCTTGGAGGCAGCAAGGTGGGACTCAGAAGGAGCGGGGACCAGAGGTGACAGTGGCTGTGAAGCCGCGGGGGGAGGGGGCTGCAGGGCAGGAGGTGGCTTCCTGTAAAGTGGGTCTCTAGGTGGAACCCGAGGTGGCGGGGCCAATGGGTGGGCGCGGCCCCTCCCGCGGGCGGGGCGCGCGATCGCCTGGTACCAGCGCTGCCGCGTCCCGGCCGAGCGGCTCGCCGGCGCGTAGCAGCCGGGCGCCGACCAATCCCGCCCGAGGCGCAGCTTGGGCAGTCGGGTGGGTGAGGGGCGGCGGCGGTGGCCCGGGCGGGGAGCGCCAGGCTCAGTGTCGCCCGGGGGGGTGGGGGCAGGGCCCTGGACTCGCTGTCGACTTCGAGTGGCGGAGGCTGACCAGTGCTCTACGCACTCCAGGTGGGGCTGGGGGGGGGGGGGGTTGGGGGTCCCAGCACCAGAGCTGAGTTCTGAGCTAGTCTAGGAAGGGGCCGGGCTCGAACCCCGGGCGAATCTGAGTTGAGCTGGAGATGGGGAGCGGGGGCAGCTGTTAGAGTAGGGGACCCAGGTTCTTTTGGTCCGGAGAGGGAGGTAGCACCCCGGGCGGCAAGCGGAGCTCAGCCTAGGTACCAGAATCCAGGGTGCGGAGGCGACGGGGGCGCGGGGGGGCCGGGGTCCGGGAGGAACTGCGCCCTGACCTGCTCTGGGTGTCGGCCCCTCGCGGGGCGGGTGTCCGGAAGAGGGGCCGGGGGCGGGCCGCTGGGCGGGGCTGGCCAGGGGGTGGTCTGCGCGCCTCCGACCAGCTGCGGCTCCCAGGCGGCGGCCGGCGCGGGGAGGAGAGCAGAGGAGAGCAGAGGAAAAGAGAGCAGAGGAGATGCCGCGGCTCGGACGCACCCTGTTGTGCCTGCTGCTGGCCGCGGCGGTCCCCACGGCCCCCGCGCCGGCTCCGACAGCGACGTCGGCTCCCGCCGAGCCGGGCCCGGCTCTCAGCTACCCGCAGGAGGAGGCCACCCTCAACGAGATGTTCCGCGAGGTGGAGGAGCTGATGGAGGACACGCAGCACAAGCTGCAAAGCGCGGTAGAGGAGGTGGGTCCTCTGGACTCGGGGGGCGTGCGGCTGGGGAGTGGGCCTGCGCTCCGAGCTCGGGAAGGCGCCGGGGAGGGCCCACGGCCAAGGCAAACACCGAGTGACCCGAGCGAAGCGCAGGGCGATTTGGTCCCCGTCTCCCGCTTGTTCGTTCTGCCGAAAAGCCAAAAGGTTAGGACCAAGGCCATCTCCGGAGAGCCTGGGCTGGATCCCGCCCCGCCCCGGAGCCAGGGTCCACTGCCTGACACCGGCTTGCAACTGTCTTAGGGTGTGTTGGCCTTCCCCTGTTCGAAGCGGTGCTTGCAAAGGCCCTGGTGTCCCAGAGCTGTGTGTTTGCGGAGAAACTGAGGTAGTTCCAGGCAGCTTCAAGTTCTGTGTGTTGGGCTTTGAGTTTGTAGCATCTCCCCAAAATACACTTAGGATGCGATGCCATGTGGGGACAGAGAGCCCTGGGCTTTGCTGGAAGTCTGTCTGGGCTGTGTTGATTTCTTTAATGCATTGTGAGGCAAAAATGGAAGGTGGGGATCCTAAATCCCAGCTCTGTAAGTCAGAAGGTGAGAGTGTGAGAAGCGACCTCACCTACACCAACAGTGCTTTGGAATTAGGCCTGGGCTCAGGCCTCTGCCCTCCTCACCCACTAGCAGTTGGCATTGAGTGAATCATCTAACGTCCAGAAAGAACTTCAGTTTCCTGTAAGAATTAAATGCCGCAGTATAAGTGTGGGCACCCGTGAGTAAGAGGTGAGCACTGCATCACCGCTAATATTATCAGATACCAGATACTGCTGTCTGGCTTCTTCTTCCCATCACTCCCTGGGCCAAACTCTGCATGCCATCCTGCTCCGTCCTCCATGGTGCGCCCAGGTATGGAGAAGGCTGCCTGCGTCCTCTTACCCAGGTGGGAGCTGTCCCTGGTGCCCGGGGTGGGCAGGCCTGCTTCCTCTTGAGCCCATCTCTGGCTGTAGCATGTCTTTGGAGAGGAGCCAGCCAGTGAAGGAGTCAGCGAGGGCCAGATGTCCAGCCTGGTGAATCAAGCTTCTCCACCTTCCAGCTGCCTGCAGCTTGGTAGCCCGCTTGAGCAGTCTTCAGTGCAACTTTTGCCTTCTGGGAGAGGTCACTTTCTTCCCTGGACCTTGTGTAGTTTGGCAGTTGCACTGAAGGTACACTGAGTTGGCAGGAAATGAAGTGGGTGGCTGGACCTAAATGTCCACTGGTCAGGCCCAGATCCCAAGACCTATGGGCTCTGTTTACCAACAAAATTGTCATGACATAGAACAATGAGAGAGTGAGAGGAGCCAGGTGGTCCCCAGTGGCTCTTAACTCTGTAGCTTCAAGTTGATTTGAGCTTGTGATCCTTCTAGTTTCAGGCCCAGCCGCTTGCTTTCTTTATCTGGATTGCAGGACTTTCCTGCAATCATGTGGATGCCCATTACGACTGACTAGGTCACCATGTTTTTATACAGTGGGAAAATGCCTATCGGCATTTGGAAAGTTTGCAGTGTGGTTTCTGGGCTTAGCTCCTGACTAATGGTGGAGGGCCTCATGAGACTCTTGATCAGAGCAGTGTGGGGCCCACTGGGACCCTAGTGGCTATGTCTTCTGCATGGCAATATCCGCATTGGGTTTCACCAGAGCTCCATCCCTGCTCCCCCCAGACATGGCTCTGTTGGAGTCCTACATGTTGTCGGGTTATTTTGCCACCAGAGGAGACACTGATTGTCACATCTACCCACGTGGCAGTCATTTCCCAAAGAACGTCCTTGCAGACTGTAAAGACAGAATGAGGAAAGTCGAACATCTTCATGACAAGATCCCAGCTCTGCCACTTGCTAGGGGTGGGATCCATGGTCTGAAAGGGGGAAAATGTCCACCCCAAGAGTAAGGGAAGAATTAAAAGAGAGGAGTCAAGTAAATCAAGTTATCTGGCCATCTAAAATAGAAATAAGTAGAATAGATATGATGCAAGCATCTTTCTCATGAGGTCAGGATTATGGGAGATTGTTGGTTCTCAGAAAATAATAGCTATTGTTATCATCATATTAATAGTAGCATTGTGACTAATAGCCAAGCACTACCAGCATCTGATAGACTCAATAGAACCTATCTTTAAATTGTCGTTTTAGGTATCTAAAAGTATTAAAACCTAATGTTAAAATACTAAAAATATATTTTAAGAATATCTTCAAAAGTAGACTAGAATACAGTATTAACAGATTAAGGTTGTTATTTTTTTTTAAAAAAACTTCCAGAAAGACTTTTAAGTCTCATAAACATAAAATAGTTGTTAGTTATTCTAGAGAAGAAATAAAAAGGACCTAGACCAGATGCATTGTTTACATAGTTGTATCATGAATCTGCTTTCAAGTAACTTCCTGGTATTTTACATATTCCAGCTGCCTCAAGCTGTTGATGATGTCTCTTAAGGGAAAAAGACAAAGTAGCTGTACTTGTAAGATTGTTATTGAGAGAAGCACATCTTTAAATGCTTCCATCTGGGGCATTTCTGTTCTCCTGTTCTGTCATTCTGTATGTTACTAATAAATGTATTTTCGAGGATAAAACCACTCCGTTTGTATCACCCTCATTGCCACATCTGTAACTGATATATTTTAGAGCATTCTTGTTGCCCTACCTGGTCCCAGGAAGAACCCCACTACCAAGCCTGAATTTATCTGTCCAGTGTTCCTGCTGTGCCCTCTTAACAGACACAGATTCAACCAACTCTAAATGCCATTTTTAGCAGCGTTCACATTCCTCCTTCATGAAACAACTATTGCTTTAGGCTAAAGTTTCTCCTGCTAGTGGCAGGAATAGTTGTGGCTGAAATTTCCATTGTAAACTGTACTCTTAGTTCACAGTGCCATTAAAAAACTGTTAGCTCATTCTGCCGAAACGACCACTGGCTGAGGGGGGAATGGTTTTACAAAAAGGCTGTCAGCTCAGCCCATAGCAAACTTGAGACTTGGGAACTTGTCAATCATTTGAAAGCCAAGCTGTATGATTCAGATTCCAATGAGAATTTTAAAAAACATTCAAACTTTCATTTCTTATTCTGGATGCATCCTCTCTGGCATCTTCATGCTCCTCTTTTCCAGCTCTCTCTTTTCCATCACTAAAAAGTAATTTTCTTACCCATCCTGGCTTCCCTCCTTCCTGCCTTATATTTCTCCTTTCTAATAGGACAGTGTTATGAAGGCAGAGATGTGTTACATATTTGTCATGTGGTGGGTATGTACCAGTTCTTAGAGTTCATGATCCTTGATTCTTTCATCCTCCTAGCAATGTGGGATTGTCACTCATTTTACACATGGGCAAGTTGGGGTTTAGAGGGATTTGGTATCTTACCCAGGGTCACATGGGTACTTTGTGGCAGAGCTTGGATTTGAACCCACTTTGTCTGACTCCAGAACTCTGACACTTCTTCCTGTGCTGGCCTCTGTTGATGCTAGAGGCAACTGCTTGCATAAGCCAGTGGCTGTCTCTTAGGGGCTTGGTCCTTCTATTTTGGAACCTTTGTCGCCTAGAAGACCCCTCTCCAGGTATGGTTCCTTTCTAGGCCTAGCTAGTGCCCCAACCTCCCTTATGGAGGTGTGTTTATTTTGAAAGTTTTGGGCACGACCCTGACATACCTGTTTGGCTGAGAAGCAGCCAGCATGTTCTGCATTAGAAGTCCCTTGTAGATCTGCCTGTTAACCCCTCTGTGCTTCATCCACTGGCCGCCATTTTTCCTGTGTCCAGCAGGGACCCTCTGCTCTAGCCCATGGCCCACACCGTGCTGATCCGGGCCGACACTGCACTAGTTTTATTTGCACCATTCCACACTCCCCTCTGTGCCAATCTAGTCACCCTCTCTGACCAGCCCAGTCCCGCCACCTCCTCCTCCTGGAAGTCTCACTTCTCCTGTGACTTCCTTGCAGAAACTGTCACACAGGACTGTCACACACATCCTACCTTCAGATGGGTTGTGTAGAGTCTCTTCTAGTAAAAGCATAAGCTACTTGTGAGGAGTAAAGTCCTATACTGAGAAAGCCACAGAATTAAGAGTAAACAGATGTGGACTCTGATTAGAACCAAGCTTTGCCACTGAATAACAATGTGATGATCTCTCAACTGTGTTTTCCTTCACCTGCAACATGGCGGGGGAGGGGGGCAAAGAGCATCTTTTTATTGTAGGGTTGCTGTGAATGTTCAAGGAACCTGGTGCAATCACTCAGAGTAGCCCGGAGTGAGGGGCTGTGACTATAACGATTGCTATACTGAAGCCGGTGATCTAGTGTCAGACATCTCAGCAGTGTTAGCCCAGCAGTGTTCACAGTAGGACTGACCAAGCTTCTCTGATGAGTTGGAGCTTTGTTCCCTGCAGACTTCTTTGCATGTCTAGTCCAGTGTGTGTGTGCTGCATTGAGATGCAAGGGTTCTTTGCCCCATCCATCCCAGCTTGGCAAATCCCATCAGGGGAGGTGGGAAAAGGGGGGCTCATCTGCTACTGAAGGGCATAGGGGACAGTGATTTTTTTCACTAGGAAGGTACTTTGGAGGATTAAAAATAGCCCAGAGTTGTAGATAGCAGTGTCAGAAATCCGCCAACCATCAACCAGAACTACTCACTGTGCCTCTCATTTGAAGTTCCTGGAGAGTTTATCTGATTGGCTCAACTGTCTATGACACGGTCTTGAGTGGTTCACTTGTCAACTGTCCACTCATCCAGGCTGAGGCAGGTGAGAAATCTGGAAGGGGAAGTTGGGCACAGACATGTGTTGACTGCTGTATCTGATACAGATGTCACGGAAGCTCATGAGACCGGAGGATTTGAGGACATGACCTCAGAAACCTGACAGCAGAGAAGGACAATTCAATGTTGAAAGAGAGCCAGAAGGAATGTGGGATCCCAGGAACTTGTCCATTTAACCTCCCCAGAGGTCCCCCTGCCAGTACCCTACATGGATACCCAAGAGATGGGATGAAAGGAGACATAGCTGTGGCTCTACTTTCAGGGGATTTGGGAGGATCTTAGAAAACACTAACAGGAAGAGAGAGTGAGGTGGAAAAAAAGAAAAGCAACAAATGGAATGCCCACGAGCTGGTTACTGTTGTGGGCATCTGGGGTTCAACCCCTCTGGGGGTCATCAGAGAGAGATTGTCACTTCTGTTTGCCACAGGAGAAAAAGCTGGAGTGTTTACCCCATACTCCACCCCTCATTGCTACCACTCATGGTCTATGCAGACTGAGCACACTTCTGTGGCCAGAGAATGCCCCCAGAGACAGAGGTGATTGTTGACCTCTGTGAGAACTGAATGCAAGTGACCTCCAGATTGGGTCTCCGGGACACGGGCAAGGCACCACGAGTACTTACATGGCGGCCAGGACTGTTTCATGGAAACATGTTCAGGCTCCAGCTCCACCTTTCACTAGGACTCTCAGGAATTCATCTAGCCTCCCTCCACCTCAGTTTCCCCATTTGTAAAATGGAGACGTGAACACTCAGCTCTTAGGGAAGTTGTAAGATTTTAGGGTTACAGTACATGTAAAACATTTGGTATAATGTCTGATCCTAATGGATTCTCAATCCTTGTCACCACTCTTTGTAACTACAGAAGAGAGAAAGAGAAGTGGTTCTTTTTTTTTTTTTCTATTGGACCCTCATTTGACAAGTTTTGCTCATTATTTTCATTGGTTTAATAGATGGAGGCAGAAGAAGCTGCTGCTAAATCGTCATCAGCAGTGAACTTGGCAAGCTTACCTACCATCTATCACAATGAGACCAACACAGATACCAAGGTGGGAAATAATACCATCCACGTGCACCGAGAAATTCATAAGGTAAGGGTGGTCAAGGCTACACTTCCTCCTTTCTGCAACACCACTAAAGTCTAATTAACATACTCGATATGTAAGCCAAAAATGTAAATGAGGATGGTAAGATATAGATTTTAAAAAGAGAGGGCGTGAGAGTACTGTATAAAGGGGAAAAATGTGCATCAGAAACTTAAATTGCTTTTGCATTTAAACAATAACTTTAATTCTAGGCTTCCTACCAGAGTAGGAGGAATTTGTCTCTTAGATTTTTATGTATGTGTCGGTAGTGAGATGAAACAGAGACCAGTTATGGTGAATGGATTCTCACTCTTTCCTTTGGAGGAACTCAGATGTGATCTCCATCTGATCTCCAGAACAGAAACCCTTCATTGCCATGAGATGAAATATTCATTCATCCAAAGTTCTGTAGCAGATTTTTTTCCGACCTACCACCTGTTTGAGTGTCTCTTGGTCTAGTATCTTGCATGAGGAGAAAACAGGTTCCTTCCTGGCCTGGCCTGATGAAGAAAATTTTGCCAAGCTAGAGTAACATAGCAGTAGCCTGGTGTGTGGTATCTCCAGTGTGGTTTTGGCAGGACTCAGAGAATAAACTATGTCAGTCTGTGTTTTCTGGAAGAGGGTGCACTGTACAGATATTCAGGGTCATTGTTGGAGGCTGTATGCTTGACATCCTGTTGTGATTATCAAAGAACTTGGCCTCTAATCTCATCTGAACTCCTAAATGCAAGGGCATGATGGCTCTCCTAAAAGAGGCTTGTGTTTGTTCAAGTGCTCAGGTAATTACTTGGTTGAAACAATTGTGTTTCTGTGCCCTAGAGTGTAAGGAGGTCAACTGTTATGAGCCATTGCTTGGACTATAAAGTAACTTTTGTGTGGCTCTTTTTCCTGCCTGCAAGGTGATGGGCCCAGCTAGCTGGATCAGCTGAACAGTAGCCCTAGGCATTGCTCATCCAAAGACTGGAGAATGATCTGAAAGTGATTACTATATTCTTCTCAAAACCAATATTGACCATCATTTATTTCTGACAGTAATTAGCCAAGTGGTTCCAGCTGCATCTTAAAGTTGCTCCTTGTAGATGTCAGAATACCTGTGTGTGAGTCCTGTCAGTAACTCATGTGACTTTGAAAAATTATTTATAATTCCCGGCCCTCACTAACAGCACTTGTAAAATAGGGATATCAACGTTTATGTTGTAGAATCTTAAGGGTCAAATGACCTAAAGTATGTGAAAGCTTGTTGTAAACTATAAAGTGCTTTGCAAATGCGAATTTATCTTATTCTTACTGTTGTTATATTATGGCAAAGTTATGTTACCAACACAGTGCAGTAGTTCTCAAGGGAGTTCCACGAGGCACCAGTTCTGTGCAGTGTTTCATGAAAGAGGACCCCAGTCGTGGGGAAATACATTTGGAATAAAGTACATATGTTTTCCTCCTAGAAATGGAAAAAATGCAAGTTGGTGTAATAAAGGCTCTGAGAAGTTCTGCAACTAATTCATATAAAAATGTTGAATTTTTTAAAAATATGACATTGGTTAATCCTGAAAAAGTTGCCACGAAGGTAGACATTGATTCTTTTTTGGGGAGAGGAATGATTTGAGTGAACATTTAAAAGAATGGTGACAAAGTTGTGGTCCTTACCTCCTCAGAACTGGAATTTGATCCCTTACTGCACATTAGGCTGTTTCCACTTTGTTCTGGCTACAGACTCCTGTGATATTGCAAGGACTTTAAAGATGAAGTAGAAATGAGAAGACTAAATCAGAGAAGAGAAATTACTTCTTCCAGGTGACGTACTAGACAGTTGTTGGCAACTGAGCCGGGCCTCAAAGAACACAGACCTCTCAGCTCCTGGGCTCTGGCCTGTGATGGGGCAGGTGTGGCCTAGGTTTTCTGTTGGGCTTGGGTTGAGGTGCCTGTACTTCGGTGCAGAATTAGAGGCAGACAAGAGGCAAAAGAATATGGGCGAGTCTCCTCTTGGATGTTCCCCAGAATCAGGAGTCGGGGTGCTGTGGCCAAAACCTCCCTACTACTCATGAAAGATGTTCAGGTAGACTTACGGACCTGAAACTTAGCAAAAAGAAAGCTGACACGCTGAGAAAAAAATCAGGAAAACCATCCTCTTTATGGTAGAGTACAAAAAACCAAAAACAACAACAACAAAAAACCCCAAAAAAGCACCTATGAACCAACCTAACCAAGGAGGTGAAAGACCTCGATAACAAAAACTACAGAATTCTAAAGAAAAAGACTGCAGAAGACATTAGGAAATGGAAAGTCATCTCTTCTTCCTGGATAGGCAGAATCAATATTGTCAAAATGGCCACATTTCCAAAAATGATATACAGATTTAATGCAATTCCTATCAAAATATCAACAGAACAAGAACTAGAAAAAATAATCCTGAGTTTTATATAGAACAAGAAGAAACCAGAATAGCCAGAGCAATCCAGAGCAAAAACAGCAAAGCAGGAGGCATCACACCCTAACTATGCAGCTGTAGTAATAAAAAACAGCATGCTACTGGCACAAAAATAGATATGTAGACTGGTGGAATAGAATAGAAGACACAGAACCCCATGCACCTTTAGTCATCTGGTCTTTCACAAAGGAGCTTAAAATATACACTGGAGAAAAGATAGCCCCTTCAACAAATGGTGCTAAAAATGCTGGTTTCCACATGCAGAAGAATGAGACTAGACCCATCTCTCTCACCTTGTCCTAAATCAAATCAAAATGAGTCAGTGACCTAGATATAAAAAAGAAAAACACTGAATCTGCTTGAAGATGAAATAGGGAAAACATATGAAGACATAGGCATAGGCAAGGATTTCCTGAACACAACTCCAGTAGCACAAGAAATAATACTAAGAATCAGCAAACAGGATCGAATTAAATTAAAAAGCTTCTGCACAGTAAAGGAAACGAGAGTGTAAAATTACAACCCACAGAATGGGAAAAAACTTTTGCCAGCTACTCTTCTGATAGAGAAGTAATACCTTGAATATATAAAGAATTTAAAAAGAATCAGACCCCCTCCCCCACAACAAATGACTGAGTCAAATGAATGGGCAAATAAAATGAATAGACACTTCTCAAAAGAAAGAATACAAATGACTAAGAAGTTCATGAAAAAATGTTCAGCATCTTTATCCATTACGGTCGTGCAAATCAAAACAACACTGAGATTCCATCTTCTCCAGTAAGAATAGCTGTCATCAAGTACTCAAAAAACAATAAATGCTGGTGAGGTTGTAGGGGATAAAGGAACCATTCAACGTGGCTGATGGAAATATAAATTAGTGTAATCACTATAGAAATCAGTTTGGAAATTTCTCAAAATAAACCCCTTAAAAATAGAAATTTTATTTGACCCAGCCATACCTCTCCCAAAAGAGTTAAATTCATCATATTACAGTGATACTTATATACCTATGTTTATAGCACCATAAAACACAATTCCTAAACTATGGAAACGGCCTAGATGTCCATCAGTAGTTGACTGAATAAAGAAAATGTGGCATATAGATACAATGAAGTACAATCCAGCCATAAAGAAGGATGAATTTGAGTCACTTGAAGGAAAATGGATGGATCTTAAAACCCATAACATTAAGTGAAATAAATCATAAACAGAAGGTTAAATAGTGCATGGTTTCTCTTATTTGAGAAAGCCAAAATATGAATAAATTTAAGAATAAAATAAAGGAGAGATGGTAGGACACAGGGAAATTTTTTGGAGATGGGGAAGGGAAAGGAGGATGGGGGGAAGTGGATTGAAAATGATCAAGTATATATATAATATATATATATTATATATATAATATATATATATATACGTGTGTGTGTATATATATATGTGTGTGTATATATATATATATGTATGTATTTTCCAAAACAGTATAATTATTATGTGTCAAAAACACATACCAAAAATAAAAAGTTGACATCGAGTTTCAAATGATGAGCCCGAGGAATGGTTAGAATAGATGCTGTTGCTGAGCACCCGCTAAGTGCGTGTCAGGCACTGGGCCGGGTGGGTGTCGCCTGCGTCACCTCCTCTCCTCCTGGTAACTGGATGGGGCTGACTTCCTGTCTACTGGCTCAGCACCGAGTGACACTGTCCATCCCACATAGCCATCCCACAGCTGCTGGTGGACTCCGAAGCCGGCGTGGGCATCCTGGCTACTGTACTTGATGCTCCTATTTTAGAAAAGGAAAGAAAAAATATCTAGTGGGGTTTCCCAGTAACTTCAGCTCGCTTTCACCGTACTTGTTCTATTGCAGATAACCAACAACCAGACTGGACAGACGGTCTTTGCAGAGACGGTCATTACGTCTGTGGGAGATGAAGAAGGCCAAAGGAGCCCTGTAAGTTGTCATCTCCTGTGCCCGCCCTGGCAACCCAGACTGCAGGCCACTGCCCAATTCTGCCTCGTTTCTGCCAGGATTCCCCAGTTCCTATTTTCCTGACCAGACTTCACAATCTGGTAGCAAGCTATGCATGGCATCAGGAACAACAGAGAACTTAAATCTAGTTGTAATTTGCATCTCAGCTTTGAAAGGGGAGCAAGCAGGTACCAAGTATACTGATTGGGGACCCTGGATAAAGACCCCACACATCAGATAGTAAAACCCCTAGAGCCTCTGGGTTGGCCCACACTTTGTATAATCCCAGGCCTGGCCAGGCAGCTTGAGGGCAAGATGTAAGTGGTCTAAAGGGGTAAAGGCTGCCTGTCTGTTCCAGGCTTTGGGCTCTGGTCTCTCTGTGACTGCTCCTACTGAGTTGTCTCTTGCTTAGTCCAAAGGTGGAATGGATTTTGTCAAATTCTAAAGGCCTAAAGTTGAAAAGGGTAAGAAGGAAAACCTGAGTCCAGGTCTGGGGATGACCCAGTCAGAGTCACTGGGATCTCCAGGCCAGAGGAGGCTCAGTGGCACTATGTCTTCTCAAAGGGATGGTTGGCTGGGACATGGACAGGCTCAGTAGTAACTGTTCCTCCTTCATGGGGTCTGCCAGGAGCCAGCTTTTCTGTCCCTGGATGCCATATGGCCCACTGGCTTTCCAAGTGCATCAGATTTGTGCCTACCTCTTTTGTCCATATTGCTGGAAGAGAACCAGTGTATTGGTATTGGTTAAGAAGGGTTGTTGTCTTGGTTGGAAGTTGGAAATTCTTTTGCTTGTTTCAGCACGGTGCTTAAACTCTGGGAGCTGGCTGACACGTACTGCAGGCTGGTAGTCTTGTCGGCTGTGTGAGAGTGGACCGTTCAGAGGAGTCTAGCAGGTGTGGGAACAATTCAGTGAACAGGAAATGGCACTGGCTGTGGAGGCTGGACACAGTTTATCACCTACAGGCAGGGGCCATCTTGCTTTCTTCATTTCCCTTGAGGGAACAATGAAAGGTGTCACTACCTCCTAGCCATGGAAGTACAGAGGCCTATGAGACAAAGAAAGGGTTATCCCAGGTGAGAAAGAGAACAGCCACAGGATGCAGACCTGATGGAAGCAGGAGGGGTTCCCAGAGGGAAAGCCTGCAGAGTACCCCTGAGGGAAGTCTGTATTGAGGGGCTGATGAGGGACAGACCTGACACATGCCCACATAATCTCATGTTCGCTAGGTGGTGGGGGACACCCCTCTGGTGACGCCCTGGGAAAGCCAGAAGCTGAAGGGGATGAGTAGATCCAGGACCCCCAGAAGCAGACATTCGGAAGTTTCCGTGGTTTCTGCTCAGGCCCTGAGGATATTGGGTCATTGTGGTTCTCTGTGGCAATAGATGTCCATTTGATTGACTGGAAGGCAGATCTGGGAAGCTGATACTGGACCAGTCAGCAAATGCCCCAGGCTTTAGGTAACAGACCGGAGACTTGTCAAGCTTCCTGTGAGGGGATGGCAGGTGGTTGAGATGGTGTTAGTTCTTCAGTGCTGAGCCTTACTCTTTGCAGAGGGGCCAGTCAAGAGTCAGGGGGACAAGATCCAGCTTCCAGATTGCCCAGGCATCTCCATTCAACCTCCCTGCCTAACACAATTGAGCTGGGGCTCAAGTGCTGTCTTCACTGAGACACGGACCTCTTTTTCTGAGCAGGACTCTAGGAAAAACAGATTGCTTTTAGAAAAATGCACAGGATTGTGCATTGTCACCATGGTCCCATTACTGGGTTTTGCAATTTAATGATTTTCACAGTTGGTTCTGAACCATATACTTTATGCTACGGAAACCATCTCTTAAGGAAAAAGGCAGATTTGTCATTCCAAGGGACAAAATCATTGGCTGTTCCAATCTTCAGATAACCATGAACAGAAGCTAAATTTTCAGGATTTAAAATTCCCCAGATGAATTCAGTTAAAAATAATCACCAAGCACCCTATATTTTCCTTTCTTTAAATTCCGGTATTTGTGGTAAACATGCATGGTAACCTGATCAGCCCCACGGAAAGTTACAGACAGAAACTCTATATGCCTGTCTAGGAGTCTGCAGACTCTGCAAAGCCCTGTCTGTTTCTACACTCAAGTGTGAGGGGAAAAGGGTGGGCTGACTTGTTATTTCACCTGAGTGCATCAGTGACCGTGATGTGGGCTGATGTCCTCACAGGGGGCTTTTGTGCTGACTCCTCGGCCGGCCACTTTACGGGTCAGTGGGTAGGCTGGCCAGTGTCATGCTGCTTTTGTGCAGGAAAGCGGCATGTTGAAGGCTAGAGTGGACAAGCCATTGTGCACGGACATGCTTTTATTGATTGAAGAGTCTGGCCCAATTAGCCAAGGCATCATTTTGAAAGGATGCGTCCTCCGGTTAAAATACAGCTTGCAGCTGCAAGGCTCATCATGCCTTGGATTTGTTGCCTTTCTGGTTTCACCTTCTAAAATGATAGAACAGAATGAGTGTGTTCGCTTTTCTGCCCGAACACACCTAATTAGAAGCCACAGGTTCACTCATGTACCACCACTCCAAAATACTGGTCCATTTCTAAGGCCACAGCTGGACAAATTTCACTACCAGGAACACCTGGGCAGTAGAGTTGGAGCAACACGTGACTTTCTATCTCCCAAGAGTGACCCTTCACTGGTCCTTTTTTTTTGCCTGGAGACAGTGGGCTGAGGGTGATGCCTGGGGAATTTTCTGGAAGTGTGAAAGCAGTGACTTCCCTGTTTGCCTGTTATTTGTGTTGGAGCCTGGGGAAGTGGGATGCTAAACCCGGGCCAACACTGGGAAGGATGCTTTGTTTGCTTGCAAGCCTTGGAGCAGTCAGCACCTGGTCCTCCTTGCCCCACCAAGTGTGGAATGACTCCTTCCTCTCTTGTGCCTCAAGTTCTTGCCCTAACTTGTTCTTGCATCCAGAGGAAAGGTAGGTCTTGTTTCCTCCTTGGCCTCTATTGAATTCACAGAATATCAGAGGACGCCATGATATCCAAGCCCTGAGTTATTTTCTAGGGAGACTGAATCAGTGCTGAGAGGACATGGCCCCCAGCAAGGAAGCCCTTGAGGCAGAATGGAGAAGTGTGGACAAGGTGTGAGGTGGGCCTGGGTTTGAGCGAGGCCTGAGCCCTTGCAAGCTCTGCCCTTGGTGACCCTGTTTCTTTCATTTGGGGCTGATAATCTCCCTTTCACAAGACTGAGTGAGGATCCAGTGTACTGAGGTTTACAAAAGCTCTTTGTCCGAAGCTCATTATTATTGAAAAGTAATTAAAGCTGGGCTCTAATTGGTTTGTCCCCTGCTTCCCAGCAAAGCATTGCAAAAACAGTGGACTAACCCTAGAAGCGGATGAGGTTGGGAGGCCTCTGCTGGCCTCTTTCCCCTGATGATGTAGCCCTTGGTTGATTTTCTTCTGCAGCCTGGAGCTGGGCCCTCTGAGTTCTCGAGAGTTTTGCTGAGGCTGGGTCTGTTTGCTATGAGCCACAGGACTGGCCCATCCCAGCCCTGCCATTCCTCTTGAGAGTGCCACCCGCCTGGGGTGGGTGTTAGGGATGCTGACTGAAGGAAGGGCAAAGGGTGAGAGGCCGACGGGCAAGGTGCTAGGTCATGGGTTGAGGTCTCAGTTGGCAGCGTGGGTACCGTTCCTACAGAAAAGCACAGGCGTGTTGTTCTAAGGGGGACAGTGTCCCGTGCGTGTCTGGTACCATGCTCCCAAAACCACATGAAGAATGGGGCTCTATTTTGTTTGTAGATTCAGATTTTGACTTGACTTTGATTTCTGGCCATGTATAAAGTCCTCATGCTTTATCCAGTAAAAAAAGGTGATAGGGAAAATTAAGTAATTGTATCATTCGAGAGATGAGTAAATAATCCTCCAAGAAATGATGTGGGCAAGCAATTTTTATGGGATAGGGATTTCTTTTTGAGCTGTAACCTGGGATATTAAGTTGTATTCTCCTGTACTAAGATACCCTTTGAAAAGGAGTTCATTAAATATAAATGATTCCACATACAAAATCATACTATGGAGTTCATATATGAGTTTCATATATGTTGGTATAAAAGGATGTCTTCAATAAAATGTTAACTTAAAAAAAGCAAATTCAGAGCAATATATAGAATATATACATTATATAATATATAACATAAAATATCTCATTTTTAGGAAAAGATACATTAAAAAGTGTGATAAATACATATCAAATTATTAATAGTAGAAATCTCTGGAGGAATTTAAATTCGGTGGGACTTTTCCTTAACAGATTTCTGTATTTTGTTTTTGTTTTGTTTTTTGGTACCGGGGAACGAACTCGGGTCCTTGTCTAGATTTCTGTATTTTAAAAATATTTTTTAAAAGACCTGGTAAATTATTTATAATTTTGGCAAAACTATCTACCTGAATTTTTGGATTTTGCAAGTATTTGCATTGTGTCAGTGTTAGAAATTAATTTGCTGAGTCAAAGGATGAGCCTACATAAAAATTGAGAGGTCCTGCTGAGTTTTCCCCTAGAAGATTGCACTCATTTTCCTCTTCGCAGCCATTTGTGTGGCTTCTGTCGCTAAGCTGACCTATAGTGGGTGTCACAATGACTGGTTGCCGGGGAGGTAAGGAAAAAGGGCAGCTTCTCTGTGCTTCTGTACTTTTGATTATGAGCAAGTCAGAGGATGGCTGCTTGAAAATTGTAAGTTGTAGCAAATACAGAGGACTCCTCAAGCTGATCACGTCCCTTTCTTTGTCACGGAGAAAGGTCACTCTGCATTCCAGCCTATTCCCAGGGCCAAATGCTATCTGCCCCAGTGTGGGAGGCCAGGGGGTGGGGTCGGTGTGGGCTGACAGCTGAGTCACACAGGAGGGTAGTGATGGTGCTTGCATGCTACTTACTGCCTCTGCCCCTGCAAGTAACAAAAGGCAGACACACTCCCTGTCTCCCTCTTCTCACAGACACCCCAGGCTAGTGTGTGTGCCTTTGGCAGAAAGAGCGCTTCAGTGAGGCAGCAAAGGGCTGGGAAGGGACAGCGCAGTTCAAATGGCACAGCTGCTGCTTATTAGCTGTGTGATTTTGGTTAGATTTCTGTGTTAGCTTTGCACCATTATGACAAAACGCTTGTGAAAAATCAACTTAAAGGCGGGGAGATCTTTGGTGGCTCATGGCTGCAGAGGTTTCAGTCCATGGCTGGCTGGCCTCATTGTTATAGGCCTGTGGTGAGGCAGAGCACTGTGGCGGCAGGAACTTGGGGTGGAGCAAAGCTGCTAAGCTCATGGTGGCCAGGAAGAGGAGAGCGTAAGAGAGAAGGGCTGGGGAAAAGATTTATATTTTAAGGCCATGCCCCCAGTGACCTGTTTTCTCTAACCAGACCCCACCTCCTAAAGTTTCCACCACCTCCCGGCAGGGCCGTCAAATTACGAATCCACCTTGGTGCATCCACTGATGAGGCCAGAGCCCTAATGATCCCCGTCATTTCTCAGAGGCCTCACATGTGAACACTGCTGCATCGGGGACCAAGCCTTCAATACATGAACTTTGGGGGACACTCCAGACCCAAACTGTAACAGTTCCTCAGCTACTCTATGCCTTAGTTTCTTCATATGAAAAATGGGTTTAATAAAACTTCCTTCCATATGATATTGTCTGTCATAAGGATGGAGTGAAATAAAATAATCCAGGTCAAAACCACCATACGGTGCCTAGAACTCATGATTAAGAAAGCAGTAAATGTCAGCCCCTTGTTATTATTTGATTACTCCTGATCTCCACACCTGTCACAATTTCTAGTATTCATTACTCATTCTTTTGAGTACCTACTGTGTTTTGGTCAGGTAAACATAAAAGATAGTTTCTAACATCAAAGAGCACCCAGGCTAGTAGCGGCCCAAAAGAATAAACAGGTCATTACAGTATGGCTGTCTCATTTCTAAGGCAGAGGTTGGGCAGAGCATGGTAGGAGCATGCTGCAGGGGCCAGATCAGGTAGTCAGGTGCAGGACACCAGCTTGAAACTGCACTGAACAGACTTTAAAAATATCACTGAATTGGCTTATATAATTCAGCTATTGATTAAAATTATGAGTCAATCCGAGGCCTATATGTGACTTGCTAAATGAGCCTTCGGCTGGCAAATAGAAATAGAATTCCCTATGCCAGTGGTCACAGTTAACATCTCAATGATCACCGAGATTGTGATGTTAATAGCAAGATGACACTGCAGCTAAAGAATTATGGCTGTGCAGCCTATTAGCTATGACCTATAAGATGACGCAGGTGGCTTGTTAACTATGACCTGTCCTTCACAAGAATACATCATTCCTCCCCTTTACAAGCCTGGCTCATTAGTGCATTAGTTCTGCTATTCCTTACATCTGCCTTTATGCCCCCTGCTATGTTGTGTAAACAATAAATGCTGACAAGTTAGAGATCATGATCTTAGCCAGGAAACAGGTAAAATCAGGTGGTCTTAGCCAGGAGATAGGTAAGATCATATCCCAGCCCTCCCCCCAAGTAATAATCTTTATTCTTTGTTCTTTGTCTGTATTCTTTCATCCTCTGCTGTAGCCTCAGTCAGGTGATCAGGCATCCACCCCCTTATAGTTAGGGAAGACTTCGTGGGGAGACAGTTCTTCATGGATCTCTCAGGCTTCTGCTCATTTTGCTCCAGACAGTCTTTTACAGGCTGTGTGTAGCCAACAGCCTTGGGAGTCAGAGACCACTCTCCATCCACGGCAGAGGGGAGGAGGGCTTGCAGTCCACTCTAAAAGGTTTGGGTTCTCTCAGCCGAAGATTCCTTAGGTGTGACACAAACCTGCTGCACGTGTGGCATCTGCCAGGGCTCCTCCACATGCATGTGTGGAACTTGAGCAGCAGGAGCAGCCGGAGTAGATGGGAATCTCCTGGTGCTTCCATACTGTTGGAATGAAGTCCTTTGTCTCTGACTGGGGAATCTCTTGTTTCTTGCTAGTGTAGCAAACCTGCCAGACTCACTTGTCCCTTTGCAAGTTGGGGAACCCCAGACCCTTCACATTTCATGGTCAGCTTCCTGGAAGAGGTGGCAGTTAAGCTGTATTTCAGTGGCGTCCAGAAATTCTTAGTTGTTGGGGGAAGAAACATTCCTCATTCAGAGTCAAGGAGGCATGTGGAAATAAGAGTGTGTTTGAGGAATATTAACTAGCTTAGAATGCCAGAGCCAGATGTAGGCTTGCGGAGCAGCAGCTGAAGCTGGAGAGGATGAGAATTGGATCAGGAAGGGCTTGGAAAGCCCAGACAAGAAGTTAGGATACATGCTGGGCTAGGACTGTGTCCTGCATCTGCAGTGCTTTACTGTTTGTGCTCTGTGCTGCATACTGGAACAAATGGCCACATCAGCCCCAGAGGGGAGAGCCAGGAAAGTGTGGCCAGAATGGCGGAGATGTCACTGGAGACAGGATTTTGCTTAATCTCCCTGGAACTTGAGGCTTAGTCCCCTTTGGGCTTTAAGCCTGTGCCCTGCAAAAAGCCTGGCTTCTGGCCTGGAATCCTGGAAACTTTTACTTAGAAACGGAGCACTCTCCTTTCACACCACGCCAGTAGACAGGCTGGATAAGTGACAGTGATTGGACTTGAAATCCCATTAGACTGAAGGCATCAGCTGCAGAACAAGCAGATTTCTGTGCCTGAGCGCGGCATGGGCTGCACTGCTCCTCCGTGCAGATATGTGGCTGTCCACTGCCACTGGGCCCTGAGGATCCCTGCAGCCCAGCCTGGATAGCGTCTGCCAAGGGCCTTTGCCTCCTGGCTGTCAGAGCCCTGTGCAGGCCCTGCCCTTCCTTGCCCATAGCATCATTCTGAAAAACTCCATTTTCTTTTGCTTTTAAAAAAAAGTCAGGGGCCACAAGATTCCCTTATACAGGCACAGTGACCCAAAAAGTGACCAGATTTACCAGTCTCTCTCCAAATTTGCCTTCTGCTCATTTTCAGAGTAAATCTTGCTAACAGCCCACACCAACCCATTGTGTTGTGCTGTGTTGTTGTAATTAGTGACCATGATGACAATGAAAGGAAAAAATGATAACAATGAAAGCAAAACCTGCTCTTCACAGGACCTGTGCTAGGGATCTCTGGCATCCTTCAGAATAATCCATGTGACAGCCATTCAAGGAGGATACCCACTGACCCCATTTTACAGATGAACTGGCAGAGGCTCAGAGAAATTACACAACAGAGCTAGCAGGTGGCAGAGCAGGTTCTAAAAGAAAAAGATAATCAAAACCCTGAGGTCCAACTGATTCCCAAACTTCCAAAACCCAGGTTCTTAATGGAACATTTTACAAACTTGGGCTAAAATATATATAACAAAATTTACCACCTTGATCATATTAAGTGTATGTATTGAGTGTGTTCACATTGTTGGGCAGCCCAGTCTCCACAGCTTTTTATTTTGTAAAACCTAAACTGTGTTTTCATTCAGCAGCAACTCCCTGTATCCACCTCCCTCTAGCCTCTGACAACCAATATTTTACTATCTGTCTCTGAATCTGGTGACTCTAGATACCTCACATAAATGGAATCATAAAGTACAGTGAGACCTCAGTTGTCAAACTTGATTTGTTCCAAATTTGTGTTTGAACACTGAAAAGTTCGAGAACTGAACATATTTTTTCCCCATAATAATGGAACACCAAATAATTGGTTCTGAGGCCCAAAAGTTGTACTTATAAATTCATTTATTTGGGATGTTAACAAATTTCACAGTGATTGCTTTCTTTAATTCTATTGTGGTTCTGACAGTTTTCCTCTTAGCTTTATTGCTGGTATCACTAACTTGCTTTGGGGCCATGGTTACAATATTTTACAGAAAGAAAGCACCGAAAAAAGCACAGTGACAAATGTAATGCACTAACCCAAGCACTGTGTGTTGTCTGGTTGAGAGTAGCGCTTAGACTGAAACATCGCCCCTTTATGTCTGCAGCGAGATGTGACGTGTGACTCGCTCTTGGCCCATACAGGTTTTTTTCAAGTCGGATTTTTGGTTTGACTATTGAGCAAAGTTACAAACACTGAGCAGATTTTTTACGAACTTTGCTGTTTGAGTAGGGGAAAGTTCAAGCTTGGAGCCATCTGATAACTGAGGTATCACTGTATTTGTATTTTTGTCAGTGGTGCTTTTCACTTAATACAGTGTCCTGAGGATTCATCTGTGTTGTGGCACGTGTCACAGTCTTGTTCCTTTATAAGGCTGAATACTATATATATATTACATTTGTTTATCCATCTATCAGTTGATAGACATGAGCTATTTCCATGTCTTGGCTATTGTAGATAATGCTGCTGTGAACATGAGTGTTGCAAACATCTCTTCAAGATCCTGTTTTCAGTTCTTTTGGGATATGTACATCCAGTGTAGCAGACTCCTCTTCCCAGTATTAGCAGGCCATAATGGCAACAGCTTCTTCCCCTTCCATAATTTGGCTGTGTTACATTGGAAGTAGTCCGATCAGCTAAGTTCACTTCTAGCCAAAGTCAACTCGGTCCAACTAAATTCCTCCCTTCTGAATTAACTGTTTATTCTCTTCAGCAAAGATAGACTTGTGTCCTCATTCTACAGTCCTGCCTGCCCAATACTTGTTATCAGCAGGTGTCCCAAGGCCTGCCCAGTTTTCCCCCTTCCCACCCTGTAATGAATAAACACTGAATGTCCTGGGAGTCCTTTGTCTTTGCTGCCCAGAGCAGCTTAGATCAGCCCATGACTCAGTTTCTCTCAACTCTGTCTCTGTGTCTTTATTTCCCACTTTTCTCTCTCTTGAACATCGTACTGGCTTGCAGGAGACTGAGACCCACGACTGGAGTTTTCAGTAACATCTCTTAATGTCCCCTTTCCGGTTCCCTATAACCCAGCAGTGGATTTTCCAGGTCATGTGGTCACTCTGTTCTGAATTTGTTCAGGAAGCACCATACTGTTTCTCATGGCAGCTGCATTATTTTAGGTCCCCTTCATGTGCAGAACCTTCTACCTCTCACTTTTCATGACTGGAAGCACTAGGGGACACAGGGCCTAATTGGAGCTGAATCTGAACATTCCCGGTCTCTGCTGCCCTTGGATAAGGCAGTGTCTTTCTGACCCTGCTTCCAGCGGTTATGGGCAGTGTGACAGTCCCAGTCTCAGGGGTGTCTATGAGGCATAACCAAGACCACCGATCCTAGGTTCTCACCCCATGATCCACACCTCTAATCAGGGTACACAGGCCCAGGCTGCTTCAAGAGATTCACCTCCCAGAACCCAAAGGCATACTTCTCTTGGCCATATAGGAAGGGACAGCCTACCCCAGCCACTAGCCCCATGATCTCCTGAAAGAATCTCCCAAGGATCCGTGGACTTCCATATCTCTGTCAGGGACTCTAGACTTCTGCATTCAGGAGAAGTTTTGAGTGGAGTTTTGATTCTCACCAGTGGTAGGGAGAGATTCCAGGAGGGGACTGGGGGCAGTGCCAGCAGAAGTCTTGGCCAGGGTTAGATACAGGGGTAGTGGAAGGGAACTAGGTCAGGACAAAGTTGGGGGATACAGGGGACACATTTAATGCTCTCAGGGAATTCACAGCCATGCCCCAAATCTGACAAGCTTAGCTGCGCTCCCACATTAAGCAGGAAACCTC